CCACGGGTGTCTGGGATCTTCTTACCAGCAGATTGCCTAGTCAGCCTAGTCTTGTCAATGGACCTCATCGATTTCCATCAAATGTCGTGTCCACTGTTCGAAGATTCCTTACAGAGTGCCTGCCTCACATGTGGAGTCTTGCACGCTAGTCTTTCATATTATGCATCTGAATGATTGGTAGTATCATATCGTAGAGTGATTTACAGAACGCTTCCCTACGCTGGATCGGCACAGACTCGAGTGCTGTACAGCAGAAAAAGAAGAAAAGGTATCCCATGGAGCATGTAGATGTAGAATGTGTGCTTGACAGCATGAGACAATCTGTTGGGTCTGTGACCTGGAAACGATGGGCACTCGGTGATTTGCACAGGAACGCTCGTCTTTACGGAGCTGCCTTTTCCTTCAAAGCGTACAACCTACTACATCTCGAAGCCACTTTCCCTGAACCCTTGAAGTCTTACACCCTCAGGCCCTAGATCCATCTAAACCCCACATTCTCGTCCCGCGCCTGACCGAGCACGAGGAAGCACTGCTCGGCCCAGGACCAGGACAAGGCCACCTGGCGAAACACGAAAGCCAAACGAAGCCTTCAAAGAACCCCATGCCCTCCTGTGCGCTGTTCGCTGTTCCGAATAGCTGGCAGGCTGAGGAGCCCGACAGGTGTGAGGAGGCACACAGCGAGAAGTACCTTTGTTGCCAGAGCCTCAAGCCTGCTGCCTCAAAGCTTTTTGGAGTCTTCCGCCGAGGAGCTGCGCGTAGCATTAGCACACCAACCTCACCTGGGCAGCTTCTCTGATTACTACAACAAATCACAATAGCATGGGATCTAAATAGCATATCCTAGACCCAAAACTCTTCTGCTGGAAATATCTGGAAACTGAACGCATCTGGTTTTTGCACTGCATATTGGTGTGCTTGGGGGTTTCAACACCAGCTGGCTACGTAAATGGCACTGACACGGCGCTTGAAGTCGGGCCGTGTCACGGAAATCACCGCGGCCGAAGGCTTGTGCCCCCAAGGTGTCGAAGGCCAAGAGCAAGCCTCATTCTGAGGAGTTTAGGGGTCCGGAGCTACAATTGCTTTCAATCTCGGAAGCCAAGATGCCATTCACGATGCTGCGCCCGGTCAGGTTCCTCATAGTCATTTCCGTAGCATTCAACCGCTACGGCAAAAACACAGAACAGCAGAGCCGAAAGTGTGGAGATGCTATCAGCATGTCGGGGACTCGACGAGCAATCTCTTTTTGAGATACTCAGAACACACCCCCTTCTCGAAGTAAGTCGATGGAACATCTGCAGGAGGGGATCATTTCTAGCTGTACAGCGTGTCATTGGCCTTTACCGTCGAATCCCTGCGTGCATGGTCGTGCAAGTAACTACTTGCTCTTCGAAAGCTGAAAGCCCCCTTTCCATTGCTCCACCGTGGTGTGCAGTGTGAACAGTTGGGCTGGAAATTCTTTGGACTCTTGCTTGATGTTCTTTCGCTCAACATGGCCGAGCTTCCCAGTCAGCTGGCCGAGGGCATAGGCAGCCAAGGCCTAGAGAAACCAGCCACAAAGACCAGGTCAGAATGAAACACTCCACGGTGGTGCCTCTGGGCCCAAATGTATGGACACGGCCCGAGTGATTTGCCAAGGAACCTGTCTCCGAAGGAAGCATAGGCGTGTATGTATGTGTGTGTGTGTGTGTGTCTCCGCCGATGTGCTCAGCCACGAACCACGAAGGAGAGCACCCCGGTAGCCTGCAGAGATTCAGCAGCTGAGCAGCAGAATCCTAGTTACAATCAACCCTCGATCTCTTTTCTCAGAGGACAGCGAGTGCTCTCTCGTGCTCTATCCACACACTGCTCCTAAATCCAAGAAAGCACAATCCGTCCGAGAAGCCACTGAAGCGGTGGCGACGCGGAGCACCGCGAGCAGTTCACTCAGAACGGCCTCCCAAGATTCTCTGCTCGCCGCTGTCTCAGACCAGCACACACGTCCATTTCTCAGTCACGTCCTCGCCGGTAGCCATCAGCCATCAGCAGGCATGCCATCCCATGCAGTTAAGCACATGAATTCGTGTGGAAAGCTGTCATTGCTTCTTGGGTATTAACTTCATTATCTTGGCTGTTGTGCAACCTCAACAGCAGGAACTCCTGCTGATTCAGGGGACTATCGATGCGGTCCTGCACCATAGCCCTATGATATCCTCATGATTCCCGACGGGGAAAAGCATGTCCGTGGGAGTGGTGTAGTGGAGCAGCACAGCAAGTGCTGGAAAACTGCTTGAGCACCAGCATGCCGCATCATCGACACAGTGTAGAAGCTGCCTAACGGAAGACATTTCCGAGGTTATGCCATTGACGATGGGCATACTCTTGATGTTCGTAGCCAGCAGCCAGTGCATCGGCATGGCCTTTCCGGCTCCGTCTCCTTCAACCTGGCGTGAGTTCCCAATCTTGGTGTTGCTGACACAGAAAGCACTTGGAAAGCTTGCAACTCGGGGCAGCTCTTAAATAGCCGGGCTGACTGGCCGGCGTAGGACTCGAAGCGGTGGGCCTCTCCAGTCTGATGGCGTGCTGGGCTATGCAATGACTGGAGAAAGTCCGTCCCGCCTCCTGGTCCAAGGCGACCGTCGCTGCGGCGCCGCCACCACCGTATCCGAGCCGGTTGCAGCCTGGGAGCCGCTGTGAAGTCCGACGGTTCGGCGAGAACCAGGGAAGGGCGGGAAGGGGACTGAGATGAGCACCGAAGGTCCGCCAGGGCACAGCCTCGAAGAGCCTGGGCGGAGAGCAAAAGAGCCATTTGGCTCCGAAGGCGGTTTACCGCGGCAAAGGACTTCACAGTCCAAACACGTAAACATCTCCTCCGAAGCCAAGCTCACTTCCGTCCAGGGCACTGCGGGTCGAGCAGAGCCACCCTGCGAAAGCCCGAAGCCACGGCAATCCTTGGAGAGAAAATCGTTGTGCAGGGTGATGTCTTCAGTGCAACAAAGGCAGAAACAGCAACAACTGAGGCAGCAGCAGCAACAACAACACCACAACACCACCACCAGCACCAGCAGCAGTAACCATGACAGACAAAGACGACAACAGACAAAGACGACAACGGAATCGGAGACAACCAAGAAGCATCACAGACCAACAAGTCGGACAGTGTTCAGCAACAAGAAGACTGTGTTCAGATTCCGAGCACAAGCTTACCGTCCTCACCTGTCATGCCTCATAAAGCTCGGCTTGGGACTTGCCCTGCACGAAGCAGGAGCGGAACAGGAACAAACCGCCCGAGGCCCTCACAAAGCCAGGTAGGGCAACTGATGTGGATGCGCGACGAGAACCAAGTGTGCCTTCCAGCCAGGGACATCACACAAACTGAGCTTGAGCTGAAAATGAAGACCTACACAGGTACCCACTGTGCCACTTCATGCGCCTCGGTTGCTCCGTCCTGCGACGAACCACCGCCAGCCTGTAGCAGTGGCTGGCAGAAAGCTCACAGACCCGGCGTCGGGTTTAAAATGCCGTCGCGCTTCTTCAGGCCATCTCTTGACGGAAGGCAGCTGCCTCGTGGAGGATTTGTCGCAGGTCCAGGAACGCATCCGCCGCGGTCTGGCATTGAAAGGTAAGAGCGATGGCGACGTCTAAATGGCCCTAAATAAATGTAACTCCGACATCGACAGCTGCCAAAGTACTGTCTGCTCTGTGGGCTGCTCTGCTCTCCATTTACCCAGGGTCCTGCGCGCTGGTGGCCCGCACAGCCGGTGCGGCCAGACCGTACTGTGCCTCTGCGGTTGGGGGACGTTGGGGTCTACTTGCTGCCTGATCAGATCTTCGGCACCCGTATTGTCCGCGCGAGCTGGTGAAAGGCACGAGCACTGTTTGATGAAGCAGGTAGAGCATGCGATCAAGCCCCATGCCAGGGTTTCCGAGCCTCAGGGGCAGGTTTCAAAGCTGCCTGCCCGAGTAGGCGCCAACGGAGACAGGGAACTGTACAAATGCGACCAAGCACGCTCGTAGACGAAGCGATACGAAGCGCTTCAAGCGTGGAGGCCGGCACATGCCATGCCCGAAGACGTTGCGCTGCATGCAATCGGAGGCCTACTCCCGAAGCGAGGATGGGCAACCTGCGAGGTAACCGCGATCCCCTACAGCGGGCGACTGCGAGGGAAAGCAAAGGCTCTTCCGGCAAGAGACATGCTCTTACGCAGGTGCTTGTGACCCGCTCCTGAATTTCAAGTCGCGGAAGGACGGAGCTCATGGCTGACTTAGAACAGACACGCCCGCTGGAAAACCACAAGATGCCCGCGTGCAGCCGCGCGCTTCGCGCAGGCCAGCAGCAGCAACGAGGGCAGTATCAGAAGGGATATGAGAGCACCTCGGAATCCGATGCTTCCATGGGACGAAAGGGACCCTGATGCACCCCGATCGAAGCCGGGCCTGGCCAGAGGTAGCCGTATTTCGCAAGAGCAGAGGCCTTCATAGCGGCACACACAGCACAGCAATGCCCCAAAAACTTCCCGTCCGCACCGCAGCGGGCATGAGGCCACCCACCACGGAGGCGAGACCAAGGCCTGCAACAGAGTGCAAACTCGAGAGAGCAGCCAGAACCTGCGACCAACCGCCACACAGCAGTACCACGGCAGCATTGGTGTGCTTACTTTTGTTCTGCTTCTCTCCAAGCCGCAGAGCCCAGCGCCACGGCCCCGCTGCTGTGTCGGGAAAAGAGAGGTCATGAAGAGCGGCCTCCACGCGAAAAAGGCACGCGTTTTCGACAGAGTTTTCAGGAGCTGTTGAGGGCAAGCGGCGATGGCACCAGGTAGATGCTGATGAAGACCTGGGACAAAGGAGTTGAGATCCCAGCCGTGTTGAGCCTGTTGCCCATCCTTGCTCTACATTTCTGGCAAGGTGTACAATACTGCTCTGATCCTTACAACAATATCATCTAGTCAAAAGGACGAGCGATTTGCTAGTCGGCAAGCAGGCAAACCTCTACTGAGCCCAGTCTACTGTGTTTCTGCCTTTTCTCAGCCTCCATCGGACTCAGACTCCACCTGGCGATGCAGCGTTTCTCGCTGACGCCGGCGCATGTATCGAAGCAGCAAACTGGACGCGAAGGCAACCACAAATATGCAAATCCCTAGAAGACTCAAGGCCGTACTGAAACCGAAAGGCAGGCCGGACACTGTCGCAGGCGGCATGCTGAAGAGGCCTACATTTGGGGCAGGGCCCTGTTGCGGAAGCGTAGTGGGGGCGAGGATGGTCTGTGAAAGCGCAGGCATTGTAGGCTTCGCTGTGGACGTTGTGGCCACGACCGTTGGCCCAGGTGCCGGGTCGGCCACCGCGCGGGAATCGCGGCACACGGATGGTGGCGCTTGCATACATTCCGGCTTTGACGAAAGGACACCACCGCAGAGGTCTGAAGCGCTCATGCGCAAAGAAAACATGTTGGGCCACAGCTTCCCGGTGACCAGCAGAAGCTCCTTTCCAAAGGCTGGGGAATATGCAATACCGTTTGGTGTCGCCTGGCCGCGCCATGGATGGAGCTTTTTGATGTCAATGTATCTCTCACAGTCGCCGGTGACTGGATCAACCCGCCAGATTCGATTGGTGATCCACTCGTTCACCCAGAGCTTTGGCGTAACATACTCAACCTCGTTGAGCATCCTCAGGCTTTTCCCCTCGTGTTTCACCAACACCTTGTTCACAAGCTTGAACTCACCATCTTCAGCACGTCGCAGCCGATACAAGTACGGTGCGCCCGTGGTCGCAAGCAAATCGCAGCCATCAGTGGTGAGGCCCCAGCCCTCACCGTAGGGAAACGGATGGACTCTTGTTACCGTGAGTGTCTCTCGGTCGTACTCAAGCATCACTTTGTGCTGGTAGGTCAAAACGAACCTCGACTTTGCAGCGCAACAGGCCGCCAGTACACTCGATGCTACGACCAGATTATGAGAAGCCAAGCAACAGCGACGTTCCGAGCTCGACAGTGCCCTCGCCAAAGTACTTCCCATCCAAGTGAACCTCGCAGTGTCGCGAAGGACGGTGAGAAATGAGCCATGGAAGTGCGACTCTCGGATATCCGGGGCCTCCTTCTTGGTCTGGCCACTCGAGAGGTCATAGCGCCTCAAGGCCCCCAACAGAAACATGCATACAAGCAATTGCAAGCATTCTCAGGATTTCTCAGGCTCAGGAGAAGGGGAAACCCTGGCCTCAAGACGGATTTGCCCGTCAGCCCGCATGACTCCAAGACCTGACCGATTCCACACCGCTCGAGCAGCCGGAAGCGATGTTGCTTATCGAACTTCGACGTGCAGGCCAAGGCCCTCCCCAGAGCTGCAACCCTTGTACACCCTCCGAGCCTCGCTGCCGTTTAGCACCAGGCCCTCTGTGAAACAATCGACGCGGTGAGGGAAGCGAGCCTGCCAAATAACAAACACTACGCGCGGTTTTGCAGAGTTAGATCACAAAAAAAGCAGTGTGCTTGGTTGCCACACTCGCTTTATAAAAACGGCTTCAATCATCGGAAGCACTCAAGTCGTCCCGCTCCCATGCCTCAACTTTGTAGGTGGCCAGAGGGGTGGCGACCACCGGTCCAAGCAGACATGCCAGCACCGCACCGAGCATGGCAGGCGTGTCTGAGGCTTTCCACCGGGTGTAAGGTTGCAGCATAGTCTAGCTTGGAAGATCCTGAAGAGCATGAGCAAACTTCAAAGGCCGCTGCTTACAGATCCCTATAGAGCCACAAATTTCAAGCTGAGGAGTGATGCCTCATGTCATGACCTACTCACCAAAGAACGCTTCCGGCCAAGATGCTGGTAGCAACAGGCCCAGCACGACAAAGGCCGTACCATGCCACGTAGATGTCTCGCCGACAAACCTTGGGCAACAGCAGCGGTTCTGCTCGACGTATGCAAGAGCCGGCTGTTCTGGAGAACCGCCACCAGGAATGGTCAAGGAGCAGCAGAAAGGGCACTGCCGCAAGACCGGTGGCCGCACCACCGCAGAGCATAACCTTAAGTGCAAGGAGCTCAAGCGTCTCATCTTTCCACTTACATACCGTAGCCGGCACGACTGCTTGCTCTGATCGACTACCGCGGCCTGTATGCACCGTCGTTCAGAGCTCAGCTAGGAAAAAAAAACTCTGGAGGTGACACCAAACGCGACACCCTTAGAGCAGGCCAAGAAGCTGATACAGCCCCAACACGGTCTGCGGCGAAGGAGACAGGAAAGGTGCTCAAGACCTGCGTCACCTCAGAGCCCCTTGCCCGTTTTTTTTACAAGAACACAGAGCATGTACACGAAGTTCGCCTCGTTAGCAACTTGAGCCCGAGAAGCATCGTAGGAACGGCTTTACTTAGGTGATCCAAAGTCTCGTCGAGACACTGAAGTGAGGCTTCAAACAAGTCGCTTTTCGTTAGCCAGCGACTTAGGAACGGCAGTCCCTTCCAACCCACTCACAAATTCGTTTGTGTTTTAATTAACCAGCGCACCTTGCAGTCGCACCTTCCGCCTGAAACGAATTCATTATGTAACTTTCGTCACGGCTGACAGCAACATCATCATTCCTTTTGCTTCTTCCTCAACATGCCGGCCTTGGCCACAGCGGCGATGCTCAGGGCCAGGGACGGACGGAGCCCGGCCTTGAATGTCTGTCCGTCTGTTCTCTCTGTATGTTCATATTCTACATGCAGTCTCTACAGTATGCGCGTGCTGAACTGTCTCAACAGTAGCTCGCCCAGCCATGTAGTTGAATTGATCTGAGCAAGTGCGGCTTCCCGATCGAAGTGCATCCCTCCCGACAGACCGCACACCCACACACACATACACACAACATACAATACATTACATTGTATTGCATTACATTAATAAAACTACATTTCAGTTCGTTACAACAGAACTGTACTACATTACACTACATTGCCCCACCTTGCCTTCTCCTAAGTCTCAATACATTGCACTGCGTTACATTGCATGACATTATATTGCGATTACTATTGCGTAGATTAGATACATACCTACGTGCATTCATACATACGTACATATATATATATATATATATACACACACACACAAGAATTCACGTATTTATTTGCGCAAAACATGTATTTTCTGTGTTGAAATTACTATGCGTACGTGCATGTGTCTCCGTGCCTAGTATGTGCTTGCTAATTGCCGCATACTTCTATATCCTTGGCAGTATCGGGACCATATGTCGCCGTGTCGATCCACCCTCTGAGAAGCTCTGAAGTTCTACGACCATGACCAAAGGGTTGCTGATGTGTGCGATCCCGTCATAATGCCTTCTCCATGATTGAGTTTTGCTACATCGAGGGCTGGGTCCGAAGATGGCAGGGCGACGTGGTCCTTCCGCTTAGCCGCAGGACCCGGCACGCTTCCGAAACTTGAAGCTCCCAACACGCCTCCGAAGCCCAACTGGGATGCAAGCCTTCTAGAATTGATACGTCATGCAGAGTTGTCTACATTCATCGAGCTCGTGCACTGCACTTGGCTTGAACTGGACACAAAATATCCTCCTCATCTTTCGCTGCCCTGACCCTGCCATCCACTCAGAACCCCTACCAAACTTCATTCTTCTTCAAGACCTGAACAGGAAAGGCACTCAGATGTCTGAGTACTTGGCATCTTCCAACCAGGATACCAAGTAGATAGGCAGGTAGTTGCAGCTGGTGACCTCAGCTGCATAGCTAAGGCCCACTAGCCTCCAACTGTCCCCAAGCCTGCATCGAATCGACAATCCACCAACTACTGTACCATGACCAAGTCCAAGCAGCAGCTGCTAAAACCAATGCCGCCAGCACGGCGCGGGCGGCGAAGGCACGGAAGGAGAGAGGCCTTTTCAACCGGGAAAATGGTGGAGGCTACGAGTCATGATGTTCCCATTGCACTTCCTGCAGCAGCAATCAGAACCGACGCGCCTGGATATCCTCTGCACCTTCTGAGCTTCAGTGTCCTCACACACATCCGTTTGGCCGGATGCCCGACACTGCTCTTCGCATGAATAAGCGCGAGCCATACGGAGAAGCACTCAATTAGGCTGCCGGAAAAAGGAAACCCAGAGAAGAAGAACAGCAAATACAAAAGAGACGGTGCAAAGCCGCCCATGTTTCGACGAAGGCGCAGCACTCTGCCAAGTTTTGCGAAACACATCATCACCATGGCATGATGACTCTGATCCCAGAGAACAAGTTCGTGGGGAATCGGAGTGAGTCAAAGTCATCCCGCAGTTGGATCCTCGGAGCTCTCCGAGCGACTCTCCTCGGAGCTCTCCTGAGGGCGATCTCAAAGAATTCAGAAGTCAAAGTGCCCTTGAATGTGGTGTTGAAACCCAAAAAGGCAGCAGTCCTCGATGGAGGATGCTGTATTGTGCTGCGACATCTCCGCATCACACTTCCTCTGCACTTGCGGCAGAACTGAAGACAGCTGGTCTCAACGCGCATTCTGGACGAGGATCTTTCTGAACTCAGAAGTCTCCGTCATGCCGCGACGCAGAAGTACCTCGGCGTCTTGCGTGGAATCTTCGACTCGGATCTTCTAAGTTCAGCCATGGCACAGAGACAAAGCCCAAAGGCGCTGCCAGCAGAAACGGAATGCGCCAGCCCCAGGCCTGGGCTGCGAAGCCGCGAAGCCGCGAAGCCGCGAAGCAGAGAGCGTCGGTCGGAATGCGCCGTCTTTCGTCGAGGTGCGATCTGAGTCTCACGAGGCAGCTGATGCACCGCCAGCGAGACGGCGTTGGCCAGAAAGAAGGCCATCGAGCCACTCACCTCCACTGAAAATGCTGACAAGCATTGCGACACTGACTCAAGCAGAGGAAGTCACGTTGTTGACACCGATAGCAGCCGCAAGCGTGTGCTCCCTCCCCTGGCAGGGCCAGATTTTTGTTGCAAGCTGCCCACCAAAAAACTCACTGCTAGAGCTTGGCGTTCTGCCTCTTCCCCGAACTCCGACATGTACGTGTTCACTCCAGCAGACTCACCGCCTTTCCCGAGTGGCGTCAAGCAAGCTAAAGAGGCCCAGGCTTGAAACGCAGCTGCAAGCAAGACACCCGCGGACAGACCAGTAAGGAGCCGTAAAGCAGCCAACATCCAGGTGACTCCTGCTAAAGCTCGAGGATCCAACGTGCAGTGCCTTCAACATGTTATGTCTTTCACTGTGATGTTGCTCCAAGCCCACCCAGTACCCATTGTGTTGCGTATTTTCTGGATGACGGAGTTTATTCGTTCTTCACTAGCCACTGCCTTTGACTAAGGGGTGGCAGCGGGGCGACACATGATGCCTGTTGACAGGCGCCAGAGTTCGACGATGCCGGGGGGGAGCCTTCCCAAGCCGCATCGCTTAGCCACGAGACCGTTCGAGTGTTCGAGCTTTCCCCTAGAACCCAGAAAGCTCCTGGAAGTGAGGGCAATAAGCAACCCTGCAATGCCGTCGCCACCGCCATGCCCCAGATCGCCAGTTGCCTGCAGAGCTACGAAGCTTGAAGAAATCTCTGAGCCAATGTCCGCCAGGGCGCAGCGACAAGGCTCGGCCGCAGGTGTCTCCGATCCTGCAGCCGAATATCGCGAAATGCAGAAGACTTCCCGCTCCCATGCAAGCGGCAGGCAGGCAAGAGGGTCCAGCCGAAGACGAGGCTGCCAAAGGGTCGTGCCAAGAAGGGCACAGCAAAGAGGAGCCAAGCCTGATCTGATGCTTCTATGCTACAAGTGCTTCCCTGCTTCGCGGAAGAGCCAATGCCTGATCTGCGCTGCCGTCGGCAAAGACTTCTTTGAGGATGTCCTGCATGTAGCCGAAGACCGTCCAGTCATACCATTCGAGGATATTCCCCAAAATCACTGCCTTGGCAACATGCTCCGTCCAGCCGACGAACTTGCTGGCATGACATTGTGGCAAGCAACCAAAGAACTTCGGTACAAAGTCCTGCGGCAAACTAGCAAGTAGCCAGATTGACGTAATCCGTACATGTTCCCGTCTGTGCAACATGTTCCATTGTCCTCACCCTTCGCCAATATTCGTGAGGATTGCTCTTGGCAAGCGGGACGCGAACAGCCCTCCCATCGACGGCCTTCCTAAGCAGCAGTGGAGTCTGTTGAAACCCTTACAATATGTTGCATGGAACCATTTCTGACAGCTCGCTGTTGGGCTGTGCCCTTGCTGCAAAGCGGCACCGTTCCTTCAATTGCTGCGCCAATGCTTTGAGCCGCCATCTGCAAAGAAAGCTCAACTGGCCTTCAATTTAGATGTCTACGACCACGGGACCTAGCCCAGTGTTCCAGCACATGAAAAATGACGTGAGGCACAGCCGCCTCAAATAACAAATTTGCTTCATCGAACCGAAAAATGTCGGTGAGCATGTTGAAACCGCACACAATGACTTGTCACTGACACTGCAACGATAGCCCGCAAAGTGTGACTCTTTCTGTGGTTTCTGAATTCTGCTCTTCAAACTTCGAGACTTCAAGCCTGCGGCTGCGGATGCAGGGACGATGCATGACGCTACTTGGCCCAGCAACCTGCTCAGCCCGCACCTGGAGGATCTCCGAGATGGGCCCCACCACAACAGCTCCTCAGACAAGGCGCATCTGTTCGCAACCTCTGCAGCTCCACTGACCTCTTAATTTTGGGGCCTGCAGAGAGTTTAGCTCAACATCATCACAGGGATGCTCAGCACTGGCACCTTTTAAGAATCTGAGAAGCACTTTTGTGTTGCATGCAGTCCAGCGGCTCAGTGCGCTCGTACGAGAGGCCTTTGCTCTCAGGAGGCGGCCAGCACCAGCGGGGCGCCAGCTCTGCACCAACTCACCGTCCGGGATGTAGGAGCCCTTTGTAACACTCCCCTCGGGCATGGCGAAAGCGGCTTCTCCTTGTGCGTACGGAGACAGCAACAGATGGCCGTGGTCCTTGAGAAGACTGGCGGCCACCCAGGCGACCGCGTTGTTGGTAGGCAGCGCTTGTTCTGCACTTTCCTCCCCAAGTATCGTGAAGCCAAAGATGGCTAGCACCGGCTTCACTCCTGTGGCTCCATTGCCGAGGGTCCCCTGCAAGGCCCCCCCAGCATCTTGCCCCACTCGGGACAACACGGCCAGCGATGCGCCCACTGCGACCACTCCGAGGAAACAACAAATACCAAGAGCCACCAGCTTCCAACTGGCCTCAAGAGAAAACGAACAGCAGGGCATCTCTGTCTTTGCAACACTCTTGGATCCATCAGGTTATCTTGCCTACGACATCGCTGAGTACCTCAAAGACATCAGTGCGGACGCTGGCCTCGTCCTCCTCCGATATTCGGTGGTCCGCAGCTGTAACCCCTGCATGTCAAGGCGCCATTCCGCAACCAAGCAGGCAAAGGCTCAACATTTCAACCGTGCTGCTGCAAGTGATTCTCCACCAGTGTCGTCTGTTTCCCTCGGATTAATTGCAAACTAGAAGCGCTTGTGTGTTCAGCTTATTTCCCTCAGTTCTACTTTTGACTTCACAGAACAAGCTGGTGGCCTTCATAAACAATTTCGTGAATGTGAAGCCGGCTCATTCAATGAAATATTCGCAACTGCAGCAGCCGCGACTTCTTTCCCATTGTTCCCCATCTGGTACCCTATCTACATGTTGTACTGCTGATACACCTTGCTATTTGAAGTTCAACGTGCATGCTTGCACGGAGAAGTGTAAATTCGACGACATGCTTAGTATACACATGTAGCTGAATGTACACAACACATCTACGTGTTCATAGCGATGTACACGTACATATATATATATATATATGCATGTATGGACTATATACGACTGCCATGAAGTACACATGTAGCGAGAGAAAGCGGGACAGACATTGGCTCTCCAATGAGCTCCGCGCACGCGGATTTGCTGATGCCGGCGATTTGGACCATGGCTTAGCCTGAAACTACTCGCTTTTCCTTCAGACTAAGATTCTATTGTGTGTCCATTACTGTTTTCCTGCTTTGCCTTGTCTGTTCCTGTTATGTTGATGTTGTCTTGTTTCGCAGAATTCTTTCTCTACTCCTTTCTTCAACTTGATTACCTCTAGTCTCTCCCTCTCTCTCGCTCCCTCTCATTCTCTTTGTGCTTCTCTCTCGCGCTCAAGTGTCCCCACTTTCATGTTCAGTCACAACAGATCCCAAGCGTGCTGCCCAGCAACGCCGCGCTTTCAGCGGGAGCTTCCTTGAAGCAACGGAAAGGTCTACAAAGGAAGGCACGTCAAAGCTCGGGACACATGCTCGGCATCGCAAAAGTCCTTGTGGCGGGCGGACGAGGGCTGTTGGACACAAGACCGTTTTCCTCCTCGTCGTAGTCTTCACTCGGAACCTTTCCAAACCACACTGCATGATTGAAACTGCGCGAGCACAACTTCAGGCTATGACCGATTGGAGGATCATGACCCAAGACGTCGCAGTTGGCACTTGATGACGTGGTCATCGCACTCGCCGGAAAACCCGATTGTGAATATGCTATCGCCTAATCCTTGAACTGTCCATCTGTACTATGTGCTGTGCTGGAAAACACCCACACCCGTGCTGCATGCCGACCGGCTCCCGTCACATGCCTTTGGGGACCAAGCAACACAACTTGCAGGCCAAACGATTAGTCTGAAAACTGATGCGGTGTCTACAAACCATGGCACGCAGCATTCTTGCTTTCCTTTGAGGTGCTGATGAACGAACATTTGCACACAAACGGTTTTCGTGTGATTCTGCAGCTATCTGTTGGCACGCGAGCAAATACGACCACAACGTTCGCTCCAGGCCCCAAACCTTTAGGGCCGAATGTTGAAATCTGCGACCAAATTTTGAAAAACCCAGGGTCACGATTGTCTAAGCTGAACAAAGGACAAATCAATTGGCACATACAGTTTGAACTCATGCCGCCTGAAAAACAACTTTCGGCTTCACTACATATACAGACGGGCAATGCGAAGAGTCGCTGTTTCGTTTCTTTATCTGCCGGTTTTCGGTCTCCGGTCTGATATTTTGGCACATGTGCAGCCGGTGAAACGTCCCGGAATCATACAACCACATGCTCGCCAGTGGCCACTACAGGCCTCACACAGCGCTCTCTGCGGAGTTCCACGAAGGAAACCAAAAGGGACTTCGTTTACACGCAACAAGCTATTGACTTTGGGCAATCTTCGCAAGCCGTCGCCCAATAAAACCCGGTTTACACAGTCTCCGAATTTGAAAAAGGGAAGCTTCTCGAGGTTCGACCAAAGGGCTCCAAGGAGGGCTTGAAATCGAATTCGAGAAGTTCAACATGTGTAGCACTGCTCTAGCACTACAGCCCAGGCACACTTTTTTCGACGTCTGTAGGCTGTATGCTAATCGGAGGCCGAGGCTGAAGGCTTAAACCCCCCCCGATTAGGCTTTGTGAGAACTCGGTAGAAGATCGATGTGAGACCTATAGGCGGTCAAGGCTGCTGAGAGAAAACACCTAAGAAGCCCAACTTGGCCAAGTTGAGCGAGTAGGCAACGAAACGACGATGAAAGCTCAGGCTGAGACAGTCACTGAGGAAGATGCAGTCGCCCGACGGTCTCGCAGGCGAAGTTGAACTCGTCGCCCACATAGGCCTTTTTCCAGCTGATGGGCGCTCCTACGTGGTCTACCATTTCGGAGCCAAATTCTCAGCCTATTGGTGGCAACGCGTCGGAGGCCTCATTACCAGATTGGCCCACAGCCTTATCTCACACCTCCACTAGCGGCCTTGCTTCGCACGGCATCCTCCTGATCGCCCTTCTCCTGCCTAGGTGCCTTGAAAAGCAAAGAGCAGTAGGCCCTGCTCAGATTCGTGTACCTTGACTCGTTTATGGGCGGCTTTATAGTCTATGCTGGCTGCAACGTAAACACCGCGGGGATCCTGAGGCTGGAAGGATCGGCGGACGTCTTGAACTGTGGGCATAGAGACGGCTTCTGGGACTCTACAAAGGGGGTTGACTTGGCATATTGTACTGCCGAGCACGAGGCAAGGGTCGCGGTTGTCGGCTTTAACCAGGCTTAGCTTGCCTACGGCCATCCCCTTCGGCCAAAGTTTCTTGGCTTGTTTTGGGCCTCCTTCGACCTTTGCAATCCAACCGGCTCTTGCTTCTTCGGCCAGGAGGGCTGCTACCGTCTCTGGGTCTTCTTCTGCTGGCTTCCAGTTCCCCTGGCAGACCTCAAGGCCTGATTGGCTGAGCGGCAGGAGCTTGGCGTGGAGCCAAAGCTGGGCTTGATTTCATCGAAGACCCCCGTATGCACCCCCTCGGCCAAATTGCGTGAATCTTTGCACCACGCGGCCGGACCGACAGCACTATCACTGATCTAGGTGCATGATTTCATGTCATCGGGGTCAATTTCGTGTGCTTTGAAAGCTACCGTTGGTCATCTCGATGCCCAAGTTGTCAATGTTGCCTTAAGACTATGCGAAGTTCAAAGCCTTTTTGCGCACGTCAGCCAAAGCAAACCAGAGCACCCTGTGTCGGAACAAGAGCAATCAGAGCTCTTGTAGATGCTGTGCGTCAGCCTTTGCAACAAATAAGCCACATCAGCCATAAGCAGTTGGGTTGCTCACATGTTACCCCGCAGCCTCATGCCACTTTCCGGTCGCATATAGTTGCACCGCACTGGAAAAGTCTACCGCAAAAGAATTGCTGAACAGCAGTCCTCGCCGCCTGATGCCTCGAATCCCGGTATCTCGAGCCATCGGACGACTCTCCGCAGAACGAGCCAGCTTCATGCGCTCCGAGACCACTGCCGGTGCCGCCACCCTGTCTCGGCACCTGCATAACCCGCCTTGCATGGCAACTTCCAGAAAACCAACACACATGGAACCCCCGAGAACATCTGTTCTTCTTGTTCACCTGCAGCTGCGGCGCCGAACCTGTGCTCTTGTCTTTATGCTTGCCCTTCCGGCCCTTGCCATCCTTTCCCTTGCCATCACCCTTTGATGGGTGACCTGTCTCAAGGCATCCGGCTGAGGCTCAACGCGAGACTTCATGTCCGAAATCGACAAAGTCTGAGCCGTTAACACCACATCCATGTCATCATAATTGTGTTGTCGGAGCAACTCCTCCCACAGAAGGATACGCTTATCATGAACGACCCCTTGCATCCATTCTGGCATGGCGCAAAGCTACCTCACCAGCTTCAAGCTTCTTTGCAAGGATCTCAACCTTCATGAAGGCGATCTTTCGGCAAAGGGCCATATTATCAGAGTTCTTCAAGATGGCATCCACAGCTTGATCGCCTCAGCCATCCACTGCTCCGCGACAAAAACCCACCGTACAAAGCTCACTCCCCGAACTCACCCCTCGACTGGAGAGTGCAGAGCTTTGCAACCTGTTGGCGGGATCGCGCCGCATGGATTGAATACAAGAGAACTCTGATCGTGTTGACGACCTTGCGCAAACTGGAGCCTGGGCACCACTAGCAGGTCGAATGTAATGCCTGGGTGCACAGAAGCGGCTCGAAAGCATGCAGCGAGACTAAAAACCCAAACCAAAACTTGCGGNNCTTTTGTGCAACCTTGAGCCTTCGGTTCGATCACTCATGATTGTCAAATCTGCTCTTTCGCAGATCAAGCTTCAAAGGTAAAACAGGGGTCTAGGGCTACTAGAAAAGGTTGTTACCCCCCTTTTTCGGTGGCCTGTCTCAGGCCTCTGAAAACCACAAGCTTTCGGCAGCAATGCCTTTAGCACCACTCTCAACGCTAGCCTCTTAGGCCAGCTGCTTGGGCTTCTGAAGAAAACTTTAAACTCGGCTCAAAGCACGCAAAAGAACACTCACGGCTTGCACTGTCCACGGCTCTTGTAACCCTGTGCTACGGCGGTCACTCGGCTCAGAGAACGTGCCTTGCCTTGCGGTTGGGCCTTCTTGACCATGCCACAGCTCACTTTGTGAAAAGCAGAGCCACGCCCAACCAACCAAACTTCTTCGCCTTGCGGTCCAGGGTCAGCAGCTACGTTGTTGAACTCCTCTTGGGCAGCCGCAGCAGCTGCTGTTCCAGCACCTTCGAACTCCTCAAGAGCTTCCGTTGAGACTTCACGGTGTGCCTCCCAGTGACGCAGTAGCTTCTCAGAGTAGTCCACGCCATTGGCCTTGTAGAGCCTGTGTTGCCTCACCACTTGAGGCGTCTCCTCACCAAGCTCCCAGTCTCCATCATCATCCGGTGAATCGTCACGAAGAGGTCCACGAACATCATCGCGTTGAGGAAGAAGATGAGCATCTCCTTGAGGTACATCTGGATCGCCACGCTGAAGTAGAACTGGATCGCCACGTTGAAGTAGATCTTGATCGCCACGTTGAAGTAGAGGAGCTTGAAGAGCATCTCCACGACGATCTCCCAGTAGTTCTCCGCCTCCTTCACGTCCAAAGCGGATGCCAAGCTGGAAAGCAAGCCAACCAATCACCACCGTAAAGAAGGCCAGGATGTAGAAGGCGTTCTCCAGGAAGGTTGTGTCCTCAGCGTTGTTGTGGTACTCGATGGTCTCCTCCAGGCGTCTCGTCACCTTAATGTTCTCGACGTTCATCTCCTCCTGGGTGTGGTCACCATCCTTGGTGTAGGTCTTGAAGAAAGCCTCCGTGTTGACAAAGATCACCGCCAGCAGCAACGGCACCACTACCATGATGCCGAGGTTCCAAGAGGTAAACATGGAGGGGGTGTTCGGATATCGAGAAAAGCAAAGGGCTCCCTCAGCAAAGTTCAAGCCCTCACTCGCGAGCAGAATTGCTAACACACGTCGAGCTGCTTGGGAACTAGATTGTGCAATCGACCTTTCTTGGGCATTGCGGATGCGTCGCAACTGTGCTGTGCTCCACTCCCCTTCAAACTCTTCGGCACCGACGAGAGTACCATCAGACTGGCAGACTCCTACGAGGTATGACAGCATCCTCGATCTCACCCCACTCATCGGCTTGGTAGCCAAATCAGGCGGGCAAAACCGAGTGGAGATAGGCTTCAAGCTGAACATGTTGCGGGCCTTGAGGTCCTGCACCCACAAGTAAGCTATGTCAATGTGCTTCAACCTTCCAAGCCCAACTCGGTCGATGAATGCCCTGCACGAAGAAGAATCTACTCGGTGGACAAGGTGCACATTGTCACTGCAAACGGTCTCCAAGAG